TCTTAATTAAATACAAAAACAAATTTTTCTTTAAAATGGGAGTAGATAAATAAACATAAAGTCAACCTTCTGGTTGTCTAAAACTCAAGAAATATTTTCTACAGAGGTTGATATGTATACAATTTTTTTTGAAAATAAAAAAATATTCACATTTTTAGGGATTTGAAAATTTCCAAAAAATTCTTGTTTATTTTAAAAGTAAAATTTATTGGTGAATTAAAAACCTAACACAAATTTATGGTCACATTTTTAAGATTGTATAACTGAATATTTTCGGAACCTTTGGTTAAGTTTTGGAAATATGAACATTAACTTTTGATGAACATAAATTTTGGTCATTTAAATGCTGCATATAACTTTTTTTTCGTTTAGAAAGTGAAAGTATTTCCTTGCTTATATAAAAACTGGGCATAAGTTTATATTCATCTCAAAATGTGTACCTAAATTTTTTCTAAAAATTAGGAGAACACAATTTTTTTTGTTTAGATATAAAGGATATCAATTTCTGAAGAATTTTATGGAAGTCAAAATGATCAAAGATGAATTTTGGAAAGAATCTAAATTGTTATTATTACTTTTTAATATTTATTTCATTTTGTTAATGGCGCTATAACTTATAGCTGGGCTAAATAATTGGCCTTCCTTAAATAAAAAAAAAAATGTAGACACCAAACGTCGGTTTGATAGGTCAGTGACTTAGAAAAATTTTCTTCGGCGGTAGGCGTTTTATTTCCCAACATGTTGTATGTCTCAGGCTAATTTCAAACGAAGTTGAAAACAAAAAAATTTACCGAATTTCTGCATCGTCTTTCAGTCCATCGCTTTGAAACAGGCAGCAGCGAAATCACAGTGGCCTGGAAATTTCAGAGCTGATGAACTGGCTAGGCAAAACACCCCCAAGGCCACCACCTCGGACAGGGAAAAGGATAGAATTTCCATTGCCAAACTGCGACCTGCTCCTAGATAGATCGCCACAACGAGCGCGACATTCAAAGGAGCTTCTGCTGTTGGCTAAGTGCCAGCTATCGATTTGTACAAGAGTATTGACCGGACATTGTCCTTTAGGAACCCACGCAGTTGGACTTAATATCGTCACGGCTCCCTACTGCCGCAGCTATTTTGAAGACAAGGTTCAGCACTTCTTTCTCATCTGCCCGGCATTTGTTAGACTGATGTTTAAGCACTTCATTGCGCATTTCATCAACACTCTCGAAAAGATCTCCGGAGTGAACATCAGCTGCCTGCGTATCTTTTTGTGAGAACCCAGTGCTTCGCTTAGTTTAATACAGAAAGCCTGTAGTTACTATTTAAAGAATTAATTTTTAAACCGAATTATGAAATAGGGCGTTCTTAAATAAAATTTCGAATAAGGGCGTTCTTGGAAAGTTTCCTGATATAGGGTGTGTTCGAACAGGCTGTCGTGATAGGTCGACCTTCCACTCCGCCCCTCATAAGCGCAAAACAAGAGTATTTTATACGTAGTAAAAAAAAAAAAAAAAAAAAAAAATATTCAAAAATCTTTGAAAAGGAGAAAAAACGCCCAACTCTATAATCATATAATTTTTTGTAGTAAAATTTGCTTGCAAATATGCCTGAGACATGCATGCTTTCACTTTAGGCTCCACCAACAAGGAAATTTTACAAAACCCTCTTTCTATCGGTTGTTATGGGGAATTTAAGCCAGCCTCCACGCAATTATATTTTACGTAGCTCATAACTGGGGAGACCTTAGTTTCGTTAACGCTAGCTTAATTACACAAGTCGTCTACTCCGGTTTAAAAAGATGTTGTCTGTTATTATTCCGTAGGGAACCTTGAATCAGGAACTTAATGCAATTTTTTTGAAATTTTTCAAAGCTGAGAAATATGGTTATTGGTGAGATATATTCGCAAGAGCGTCTTCCATGCTGAATTAGCAGTCATAAAGCAAGCCGCCCTTTGAGACAGTACCGCCTAAACCTATTTACCGTTTATTACCATTTATTATGACAGTCACGCTACAATTAGGTCCATGCAGCATCTTCTTATCTGGTTTTTTGGGAAAGCATTTATTAAAAAAGGCATAGATTTAAATAGGCACCTTTGCTATCGTTAAAAGAAAGTTCCATAATTGGTAACGACTAATTTTAATTAATTTTAACAAAAAAAAGAGAAATATTTGCTCAAAATTATGGCGCCAAACAAAACTATTTTTGTTGGTATCTCTTTAAAAGAAAAGCGGCTCGGCATCTGACAGTTGGGAAGCAATCAAGGAAATTTTTTGGGAACAGTTCTGTGATACCTTTTGATTGAAGTATTTGCTACCAATCTGCTTTCAAATTTCATTTGATTACTTACCTTTATTTATACCATTTTTGGCTGCCAAGTAACACTGTGCTTCGTCAAATAAAAGTGCAGTGGAATTGCATAAGGGTTCGCTTAAGTGGAATCCTAACTCTGCTAGCTTGTTGAAGAGGAAATCACTGTAAACAAATATGACCTAAAAATAAAAAAACTAAGATCTGCATTTAATATCTATTACACTGTGGAACACAATACAAACCTAGAGTGCGCATATATCATGTTTGATAGCTATTGGCCTTACAAACAATGCCTCGTATTCAGATTAACTATGTCAGTTCGTTTTCTCGAGAAAAAAATTTTCATGATGCAAAAATCTGAGTATAGCCGCCAAATTTGTCTTCTAAAAAAGTAACGGTTTTAGACCTATATTTGTTGAAAAATGCATACAAAGCAAATATAGCCCAACGATGAATTTTCAAAATTTAGAGAAAAAAAATATGGCCGCTATACTTAGATTTTTGGATCATTAAAACTTTTTATCTCGAGAACACGAACTGATCTAGTACAACTGAGTACGTGGCTATCCTGAAGCTACCCTGCAGTGAAAAGCTGAACTAGTATGCATAAACACCAGTTTATGAACTATTATTTAAGAATAGAAGTCATACCAGTTCCTTATCTATACTATACATAAAATTAAAACCAAAATTTTTTGTAAGAGCAAAACTGCCGATGTAGTGAGTCGATTTCTATGATTCAAGTTTTAAAATAACATATTTGTACCAAATAGAACACAATAGGTTTTTAAATTATATTTTAATAAGAAGTATGTTTAATTAAAGTATTAAGTTGATCAACAATACCACGCATTGCTAGACCGTTTGCGTTTCACGCGTTTGAGTTTAGAGAGCATCAACAAACCACATTTGCTCTCTATATTCAAGTAAAAGCAGCGCTGCGTATTATAAAATCTGATATATGCGCACGCCGCGTTTTTTTTAAAGTTCATTTTTTTCAAAGTGTTAAAATTTAAGAGAAATTTTGTTATTTTTTTTATTTTGAAACGCTTAATTAATAGCTAATACATGACAAGATTAATTTTAGTTTAGTAATTAAATTAAACGTTCTGAAAATTCTTGAATTAAATAAATATGTAAATATTAAAACACGAAAGATTTTTTTACTTTATTTAAATTAATTAAAAAAATATTAATTATTACTACAGGTACAGCCAATCAGTAATATTTGGAATATGCGAGACAACCAAGTCACGGCAGCAATAGCTGAGAAATGAAACTGTCAAAACACCAGGAAAATGCCAAGCTGTGTCAACTGCGCTGTAAAGTATGCAACAGATAATTAAGAACTAAAAAGAAAACAAATTTATGATTCCAACATAAACCAAACTACAAAAATTCGCAAGTGACAGCGAAAGTGAATTTTCGCGCGAATATTTCGAATGATTACTCTTGATAAATACCTAATATGCGAAATATGTGCCAGTAAAGTACACAAAAAAAAACCTGAAAATAATACATAAAAGTGGAGAAGCCAAATAATGCAACATAAAATAACAGAAAACAAAAATAGCACAAAAGAAAACAAATTCATCACAGATTGATTGAAAACCTTAAAAAAAAAAGTTTGCGAACGAAATGAAATGCAAATGTGTACGAAAACGTAACGCAGCAAAGCATTTCAAAATATGCACGAGTGCTTGAAAATTCAAACCATCAAAAAACAAAGAAAGTGTTAAAAAAAGTGTTGACGAAAAGTGCAAAAAATTCGAATACCAAACCAACGAAGCGTGAAAATGCTTTGCCAAGCAAAAACTCGCAAAATTTTGCTGGTAACTGCAAAGATCAATACATACGATAGTATGTGTGTGTGTGTAGCATAGTGGCAGCATTGCGATGCTAGTGCAGTAGTAGACGTTGCAAATGGTTGTCGCAAACGAAAAAGTAAAAAAACTATGCATTAACTTCACTGTGTGTGTATTGAGTGTACGTGCGGAATACTTCGTGTGACGATGACAGCAGTGTTGGAGCGCGTTTAGCATAAATAAAATATTTTCGATAATTTCGATGCATACAATTTGAATGAGGCAACAACAAACGACACTAAAATGCACTCACACATACTCTTATATACACACATGCATACATGCATACATATGAACAAATACAGGTTTTGAACTAGAATTGAAAATGTGTAGCATAAACCTAGGCGAGTATGCTTGTGTGTAGATATGCTCTACTAAATAGTGCAGCTGCGGAAACAACAAATTCACAGAAATGTTGAGAACAGAAAGCAGCAAACTTGCATGAAGAAATAAAAAAAAAAAAAACACGAAATCAGATGAGAATTTGACTTTACTGAGACACATACGTTCGCTGTTGTCATTTGATGTGCAAATGTATGTGTATGTGCTGAAGATAATAGACAAGACAACCGACGATGTGCCGAGTAAGTGAAGCCTTTGTATGGCACACCCACACAGTCGAGCAACATTTATGTTGAAATGCAAATAACCACATATGTATTTGTATGTGTGTGTGTGTGTGTTTGCACGTGAAATGCAATACCCACTCGCCGAAGTGTAATAGCAGCTGTTGACAATTGCAAAATTTTGTATGTATAAAAATGCATAAATTTATTTGTAAATCCTACACGTTAGAAGTATGCATACATACATATGTTTTCTGCAGCATGCCTAGTTAAAATTGTATACATACAATACATATATTAGACTACAGAGCTAAAATTACAAACTATGAAAAATTAGTAAAAAATTCTAACGTCATTCGTAACCTCAACCCCAAGTATGTCAATGCCATGAAAGTGTAAGTAAAAAGTAAACTTAAAATCCGCCCTCCTTTCCGCTTGTTCACCTTCAACCTTCACCGCTTTGAACTCAGTACAGCCCGCGCTGACCTTATTGCCGGCCACCACAACTCGACAAAGGCATTCGTGATTACTCGAAAACCTGAAAGTAAGTTAGATAAATAAATTTTATGAATTTTGCGGCAAAAGTTTTGTGTTTTGTTCAACAAGCAGTGAAAATCCAAGTGCAAGTTCAACAAAAGAAAATATAAATAACAACATAAAGCAAAAAAATTAAAATAAAAAAAAAATAAAAATAAAATGAAAGAAGAATTCAATTAAAACCATTAAACAACAAGTGTGCGGAAAGTCTCAATTTCGGCGTATTAAGTAAATTGAAGTCACTTCAAAAATATTTTAGCAGCATAAGGGCATTCAGTCTTTCAAGCCAAAATGTTTTTGCGGCGTAGTCAACAGGCTGGCAACAATTTGCTGCACATCACAATGATGATAGTCTTTGGGTTGGCGAATCTAAATAATGGTGAGTGTCGCTCTTAACTTTTAGCAAATCTAATTATTTTGTATAAAATTTCAAGTATCTTAGAGAGCTACGATAATAAAATAATATGATTTAAGACTTGGCATTTTGTTGGATAATATCGATTTTTTGTGTTACCTAACGGGGAGATTTTCATATTTTTGTCTGTCTTTTACTTGAAATAAAAATTGGTTGTTGATGCGGGAAGTTCGTTGACTGAAAAATATTTATCAAAATTACAATAAGGTGCATTTCAGTTCATTTCGGATACTAAATAGCTTTTGGATCTCCGCAGTGTTTATAATTTTGTATGTTGTAGCACCGATTGCGGGAGGTACCCTATGTTTTTTATTTTTTTGGCCAGCTATTTTATCGATATATCGATTTATGAAAAACAACTTTTTTAACGCAAAACCTTGCCAAAAATGGACCGATGGAAATTATTTTTTATTTGAAATTTTCCGTTTTCAAAATACTTTTGGAATATAAAATCGAAAAAAATGTTCGATCCCGTATTTTTAAAAAATTTTCAAATTTTGAATATCAATGTTGAACAAATTTTGTCCTGCGTGAAATCCACTGCATTAGTCAAAACTATTGTAGAAGACGAAATTCTCTGCATAATTTAAAATTCCCTCTAGGGGTCTCGAGACACTGTCGACCTCTGTTTTTGAAGCCATGCAAAGTCTATTTGGAATTAAACGAATCAATTCGTTGTTTATATCAAGATTTTAAATTTCGGAACGAATTTCCGTCATCTCTTGTCAAGTTTGGTTTGCAGACAAACCAGAACGGAAAATGACACTGAAGATGGCACAATGCCGAAACCGGTTTGTCTGCAAACCAAACTTGACAAGGGATGACGGAAATTCGTTCCAAAATAAATCATCTTACCACCCGTTCGGAAAAATTAACCAACACCAACACATTTTAAATTTCATTCAAACTCGCTTGACGTATTGGACTTTAGTATTACTATAAAGAAAACTATCATTTCCTCTCCCAATAATTGAAATACTAGCTTTAGCTTATCCAATCAGCTGATGAATTTTATTCTGTAGCTGAGTAGTTTTAGATTAACAATGTCCTGTGTCCACGATCTGAAAAAAAGAAAAACAAAAAAAAAAGCAAGTTCCGTACGTCCATGCGGAGTGCACCACTCGTGTAGATAGGGCGGGAAAGGATACCCTCCCTGGGATTAGACAATTAATTATTGCAATTGGTAGCCCTAGATATATATTAAGGCGTCGAATTTTTATTGATGTAATGAATTTTTTTTTTTGCAAATTGAAAAATTCAAAATCTCTAGCTTAAGAATATTTTAATTAATTATAGAAAATTATGAATTATTTGCTACAACTTTGCAGATATTATTATTTAACCTTGCTGCGGAAATCTTGAAACTGCAATGCATAATAGGAATCTAGGTACAGATCGACCTAAATAACTGGTCACTCAAAATTATAAAAATGTTGTAAATTTTCTGAAATTTACCGAAATAGTTGTTTCATAACAGATATTGTATGAGAAATGTATTTTATTTGTTATTTTTTTTTTTGCTTGATTTGACAAAAGTTATTGCCCAACGTTTGTTTTTTACGTTGTAAGATACGGATCTTGAGCAAAATGGAAATAGAGAAGAAGATAGAAAAAAGTGAAATAACTCTTACCAGACCACTAAAACAAACTATAGTGCGACGGAGCGAGTAAGAATAGTGGCCCATAGTTACAATCAAAATAAAATCGATTTTAAATCCAAAGCAGCTTTTTGGCATAACTTTAAATGGGGTATTTGTCAAAAAGCTGCTTTTAAATTGGAGTAAACTTTTTTTGTGATTACCCATGTGACGCTCTTTTTGTAAATCGAAAAGTATTGATTAATGGCTGATTCTATTTCAATTCGTGCAGGGTGAATGGGTTCAAAATTCGCAAACAAGTTTAATACGATTTTCATGTTTTTTAGGGCTTTGGCCCAAAGAGACACGTGTTTATTTTGGTTTTGCGAAAAAAAAAATCGCTGGGTTACGAGCATCTGAAAATTTTAGGGCAAAGTGCGGTTTTAGAGTAAAGCGGCTGACAATTTTTTTATTGAAATCTTTCTATTTTTTTTTCAAAAATCTATATTTTTCAATTCGGTTTGTTTTTGATGCTCTATATTTGCACATTTGAAAATTTGAAATCTTTTGAGAATTAACAAAATGGCGGCCAGTTTTGGAAAAATCAAAAGACTCCATTTTCTCAAAAACATAATTTATTATTGTCTTGAAAGTTTGTTTGTGATTACTAGATAAAAAAGGAAACTTTTTCCAATAGCTTTGATGCCCGCTAAACTGCTTCGAAAGTCGTAAGATTTTTGTTTTTCTCTGAAAATGAGAAGACTCAGTATTTTGAGTGAAGTAGCGCCATTTACATGCTCTTTCCCTACAATTTTAAAAACTTTGAAAATTAACAAAATGGCAGAAATTTTTTGAAAAAAACTCAAAATTCTCAAAATCAGGATTTTTTCTTATCTTAAAATTGTATATGAATTAAACACGTGTTTTGACTCCTGTTCACTTTATAGCTTACGATAATGATTACTATTTTTACAGAGTAACGTCAAAAAATTTGACTCCTCAAAATGTATTGACTCTTCGAGACAAGGACGTCGAACTACCATACTCTAGGTATCTCTAGACTGTAAGTCTTTGAATATATGTTTGATGAAAAATGTAAAATCTCTACTCACACGGTGGTACACACATATTCACATAACTGATTTGCAAGTTTCACACAGTGATTAGCCTTTATTAGACAAAATTGAAAGTTTCGGAGTAAAAATAAATTGTATTTCTGACTGTCTAACGCCAAGCGCATAAATTTGCTTACTTTGAAGGTTAATGCTTTCAGGAAAATAAATTTTGCAGAAGCAAAGCAACATTGACAGCACTTAATGCGAATGTTCTGACGTGAAAAAATGATGTATGAATGGCATTTTGTCAGAAGAGCGGAGTGAAGGAAGGCGTGTAAATTTTTATGTCACTCCGTTCGTTATTGTGTCAGGTAAGACAACATTTCCAACTTGATAATAAAAGTCAAATGTAGAGTGTAAAGAAGAAACGCGAAACAAACTTTGGAAGGAGCAAAGGAAAGACTATGAGAAGCCGTAAGTGTGTGAAAGTTGTTTTCTTTTTTGTTACGTTGATTACAATACGGAATACAAATAAAAGGTGAAAATTTGAGGGAACGGCAACCCCATTTATTAAAGAAAGATGTTGTTTGGTTGGTTCATCAAAATTTTTTAATGGAATATCTATGTCTCTCATGCAATCAACCTATCCTTCTGATAATAAGGAGCTATAAAAAGCATTTTTTATCGACTTTAAATAACTGTAAGCAGCTTAGTCTTCCGTATTAATTATTTCAAATTTATCCAGAAATTTTCTGACGAGAAAAAGCTGTCAAACGCCTTCTTAAAAACATATGACTTTGACCTTTTCGCAAAAATTTTTAACACATAATAAATATGACTTAATTTTAAAATTCGGAAAACAAATTTTATACACAAATTATCATAAAAGTACTTTATCCGGAATATTCCAGCTGTCGGTAGCGTTTAAGTAAGTATTCAAGTAGTTAAGCATTTAATAGTCAGTTTATTGAAGTTGAATGCGATGGCAGAAAATTTGATTTTTTTAGTTACTATTAAATATTTATTTTAAACAATTTTAAAACTCGTTTTCAACATCTGAACATGACTACACTTTACATAAATGTGAAAGTCATAATGCGAGTGAATGTCAACAAGTTCTCGGAATCAAGAGCGTGTTGAATTAAAATCGAAACAATTATTCCTTTGTATTTATTTCCTTTTAATAGATGAATTGGTAGGTAAGTGCGTGAGTATAAATGCAGTTTACAGACATCGGCACACTTACAGGAAAATGCAGGCAACCATCTTTCAACTCACAAAAGTCTTTCGAAAAATTTCCTCAGAAAAATTAAAAATCAAGACAAAAAAAAGAAGAAAATGGCACTTTAAATAAAATTAAAAAAAAAATTATTTTTAAAACAAAATCTAAAGACTAAAAGAAAATGAATTAAAATTAAAAAAAACGACAAATAACTAAAATAACTTTCTAAAAATTAAATGAAATTATTATTTTTTTTTAAATAAAACCCAAAAATTAAATGAAAATCAAACTAAAAAAGAACAATAAAATTACTAAAAAATAACAAAAATAAAATAAGTTTCTAAAAATTATATAAATAATTTAATTTAAAAATAAATAAAATCCAAAAATTAAAAGAAAATCAAAATAAAAAAAAAAAACAATATAGTTAGCTATAAAATAACCAAAAATAAAATAAGTTTCTGAAAATTAAATGAATTTAAATAAATAGATAATTTGTTTCAAAAATGAAATCCAAAAATGAAAAGAAAATTAACTAAA